TGAAATCCCCCATTACCAAAAGTACGCGCATGTTGTCGGGATTATCAAAGGTATTCCCGGTTTCATCAAAGTAAAATACTTTTTTCCGCTTTCATGCTCTTTTTCCAGCAAGAGTAAGCCAGATTTATGGAGATTCAGCCTATCGCTGAATCGTAGTTTTTTTTTTTTTAAACGCCAAATCGTCCCCGGGATTATGTGGGTCATGCGGGAGGGGAGGAAACCCCTTTTCGATCCTCGGATTTTTGCCGGTGTAATATCGCGAGAGATCTCCACGGAAAATTTTTTTTTTTCCTCGAGGGCGGGAGGGGGTGGAGATTTTTTGGACTAAATCTAGCTGGCCGAATGCCAACTAACCTGACGCTTGCCATGACTATCGGATCCCTCTAATACCCCAGGAACATCGACTATGTGATTCGCGCGTTAACCCCCCAAACCACCCCCCACCCCTTTTTCCACCCACCACCCACTTTATCCGCCCCTTCGTCCCGTAGGTAACATGTGCTCATAGAGGCGTTGTGTGCACGGTTCCGTGGATGAACAAGCTGAGGAGACAGATATATCCATTATCAACATACCTGAAGGCTTCAGCTCAATGAAATGAGCGAGGTAATTTACACCGAGCGGAAAATGTAATTGCATGTCGGTGCATATGTGTGCGGAAGATAATATCATCGATTTTTCATTCAACGGAAAAACGGAAATGTATTTAATTAGTTCTACGATTCTCATCTAAACTAAAATCATCGAGACAAAATCCCCCAAAAGTAAAGATAAAAATTAATTAACAATTAAAAAGATATAGTGAACCAATTGGTCAACATAAATGTTCGATTTATTTATCGATCTTTTTGCTGTCGAATACTTTAGAAGACCATCTCGAATAATCCACAATTCAAAAGTCAAACCGGAACAAATAATATGGTGAATAAAATCGAAGGATCGAGTGAACCAGAAGTCGAAAAAAAATAATTCAACGAGAGTTCCTCTCCTGGTGGAAATAGAATACGCAGTCCCACACACATGAAGTATGACAACCCAACATATAACAACAGCTACTGTAATAACGAAAACAAATCTTTTCACAGACGTATTGTGCTCGGGTGATTATAAGTCTCAAAATGATAAAAAAAAGCGAGATAATTTTGTTCTTCAGAAGTTTTTCCTCGGATTTTGTCCAGAATAACAAATACATAAAATATATGAAAAATCAATAGAATAAAATAGTAAAAATAATTCTAAAAATATTTGATGGCTGTTGAAATTTATTTTATTTTATTTGCCTCAAGGGAAAAATGAAATAAAAATAAATTTGAATTTCCCCCTCTGTGTTTGCGATTAATCGATTAATTTTATTAGTAATTCCGCGGAATTGTGGAATTTTTGTTTCCTCAAATCCGATCTAATTTCCTCCCTGTAATAATTGCCCTAATTCCGGTAACACCAATGAGTCCCAATCAAAAATCCCCTCAATCCCTCATTAAAACCGGGAAAATCCCCGTAATGCAGCATCAATAGGTAATTCCAGGTGTGAAAAATAAAAAAAAGAATCCCTCGTAATATTTCCGAGGCTTGAATGAATTCCCCATTGAAATCAGTGAATAAACCCCCCATCATAATCCACTGGAGTTGCACTAAAAATTCGATGATCCATCACCGCACGTTTGCAATTGATTTTTTCCCCCTCCCAATTTTCCGACAGCCACCGCAGTCTGCGGTCCCGATAAAATCGATCAAACGATTGAAATCGAAGAATGAATTTCACGTCAACACCGGTGTGTCAGGAGACGTGCATTCCTATTACATATGTGTACACATAAGGATCACATTATGTATATAGATGGATTGGAAATTCCGAAGGTTTCAGGCGGCGGATGGCAATCGATCTGCATTGAATGGGTAAGGAGGTTTAGGGGGTGAGTTAAGGGGATGGAAGGGGGCACTGGTGGGTGTCAGGGGGTTGGTTTTGGGGTGAGGAATAACCCCAAATGTTTGATGTGTGTGTATACGCCAATCGGTGGTAATGCTGATGTGGTTCACAGCTTGCTACCGTTTGGATTATGATCCAATTGCTAATATCATTGAATATTACGGCTCAACCCCTTCCCCTTCCCCTTCCCCTTCCCCTTCCCCTTCCCCTAGATTCAATAATTCACTGATTGAATTACAGAATCAGGTGAATTGTTGGCTTCGGCATTCATTGGGGGTGTGGGATTTATGCAAATGTTTATGAATTTCGCGGGGGAGTCGAGACCCAAGGGCGGGAATTATTATGTTGTGAGGATGTCTGAGGGATGAGGGATTTTCGGTGGTGGCAACAATTCTGGGGTGGATTGGGTCAGCGCTAATTCTTGTTGAAGTTTAGGGTTTAGGGACTTTTGGGAGGTGCGTGGGGCGGGGGTGGTTTTTATTTCGAGGGGCGGTTTTCGGGGGTTTTTGTACGTATTTATTTGGGGTTCTGGAATGATTGAAAACTTCACTGACGAATTCTATACGACGGTGGAATAATTATCACGAGACAGATTCCCATTAATTATCATTATTCTCATCACAATATTGTGGTACCTCTCTGGAATATTGTCGATTCAAGAACATATCTTTGCCCTGCAGTATTCCATGTAATTAATCAAGGGATATCCCCGGGGTATTTCAATATAGTCGGGGTTGAAATAATAATGTCGATTAAAAGTTAAAATAAGGTCATGAAGAGTTGTGAGATGGAAAATCTGGGGAAAACAGAATATCACAACTCATCACTATCTTCTTCTTCTACTATCTTCTGGTTGTTTCCCTCATTGTACAAAAGGATGAAATTCTTCCATGAAAGATAAAATGTCCTTATCTACCGCAATTGTCAAATTCATCCAATGATGTTCGCTTCACGCCTCCTAATTCTCTGAGACTCTAGGTATTGTGAGGAAAATCTTCCCAAAGACGAA